GAAGTTGCCTTCGCCCTAGACGTGAAAGGTATGATTTTTTTGATGGTTTGGTCCTAAACTCTATTTCAATTATTTAATTTCACTGTTTGATTTATTATTTCCCTTGAAGTTAATAACGCGTGTATCTTGTTATTAGAGAGAGATACGAGGCATCCAAGTAAGTAATTTTAATTATTCTTTTAATATAAAAATCATGCTTTAATTATTTTATCTCCTAGTATCATGTTAGGATGTCTTTATGATTTCTAGTATCATGTTTAGGGTAATAACTTTAATTCCTAATATCATGTTAGTGTCATGTTAGGGCTAATTGATCTTTATTGTTTACTGACATACTAGGGTTTATAATTAATCTTGTTAGTATCATGCCTAGAATCTTGCTAATATTATTATTCCTTCATGAGATTGAGAATATTAGTAATATTATTATGATTATTATCATGATTATGATTATGATGATGATTGTTATTGTTATGTTGCTTGATATTATTATTGGTATTGCTTGATCACGCCTTTTATGCATGTTAAAAGGGAATTTGTACTTGTAATCACGCTTAATAAGATAATTAATAATCTTGTTTAGGCTAATATGCTTATAATTCAAGTGATTGCCAATAATAGTTTTGTTTGTGCATTAATATTCAACCAACATAGATTAAACAGGTTTAGGGTAAACCTATTGATTGCATGTTAGTCAGCAAGCGCACATTAATACGAAAAGAATAAAGTAAGGCCTATTTTTAGGGCAAGTTCAATCTCTTTTAGGTTGGATTTGTACCTTCAACCTCGAACATCTAGTCATGGTTCCATAGCTATTGGAGTTAACGATCTCCTGGATCGTTAAGGGGTGTAACCTTCACCCTGTGCACGGTTTACAAGATCCTAAAACTTGTTGGCGACTCTTTTGCTCTAGCTTCCTTCCCTTTTGACGCCACCATGCTTAAGTGTATGATTACAGTGGGGCTCAAATTTGGGATGCTTGAAATATTCCCTACACTACCCCTAAAAAAAAGTTGTTAATTACTATCCCTAAAACATATTAATTCTAGTAACTGATAAGTGACTTTTATGTCACTTTTAGGGGTGTTTATTGAATAGTTTTCCAGCTTAATTTCCAATAATTTAACTCTTTTTATCCTTTATTTCTATTATTTTCTTATTCTCGTCTTTGGACTTTTATTTGAGTGTTTTGGTAATTTTTAGTGTTTTTGTGTTTAGTATCTTTATTTGATTAGTTTTAGTTTATTTTCTTATTTTTATTTTATTTGATTTTATTGTTTATCTTTATTTTTTTTTTAGTCTTTAGCTTTATTCATTTGTCGTAATTTTATTTTAGTTTATTTAGTTTCTTTTTATTATTTATTTTCTTTTATTTGTCTCAGTTTCATCCTCGGGTTTGTTTGTGTGTAGGTTCGAGTTTGAGGTCCAAGCCAAATTCCCAAGCCTTTTTCATCCTCCTAGCTGCTATCACCTTAACCATCACCACCCATTTCCTTATCCTTCACCACACCAAAGCACAAAACACTTCCCCTACTCCACAACTCACAACACCCCTGCTCCCTCAATTCACCAAAACAGAAGCTACACCTCCCTTACCCTTCACGCACTCCACAATAACAGCACCAGCCCACGCAACTGCCTGCTCACGCAAACCACCAGCCAACTCCCAATTCGAGTCACGACCGTCCTGAACCACCATCAACAAACACCCAACATCAATAACAATAGCAGCAGAGCAGCCCAACGCCACAAACCAACCTCCCCTGCTCCACCACGCACTCCATACCAATACAAACATCTGCTGCGCCTCCTATTTCACCACCGAACCACTCGCAACTACCTCCAACCAAACTCACTCTAGCCATCAATTACCACCTACCCAACAACCACAAAACCGCCAACAACCACCTCTAGCCACGGAAACAACCACCAGCAGCCCCTGCTACCTCACGCAGCTCTCAGCGCCACCTGCACCATCGTCAACAGAGTAGCCACCACCAACCTCCAACTTCAGCCACTCATCACCTCACGCACACCACAACGACAACCACCAATTCACAGCTACACCAGCACCGAATTTCGGCCACCACTTTCACCATTTGCAAACAATCGCCTCAATTTAGCTCCAATTTGATTGGAGCTTTGCGGCCACGCTGCCCTGTCAGAAGGGGGCACAAATGGAATCCAAATTCAGATTCGAGGCAGTAGCATTTGCGCGACCTCTGCGCGATGTCTTCGCGGGCGCGCAAATGTGGGTTCAATCACGAGCTTTTCACGTGATTTTAATGAAAATCGGATGGCCACGATTTGATGCTCGATTATAGTTGATGATGATTGAACGGTGAATAAGATGGTTGATGATGCGGTGATGGTGAAGAAGATCAAAGATCAGAGCAGCCACGAAATGAAGGGGTTTTGTGGGATTTCGTGGGTCTGATGGGATTTTGGGGGGTTTTGGGTTTTATTTTCCTTTTTATTTTCTTTTTTTATTTTAGTTTTGTTATTTATTTATTTTAGTTAGTTTTCTTTATTTTATTTTATTTTCTTTTGTTTCTCTTTTCTTTTTCTTTTATTTAGCTTAGTATAAATACCCATTTTTGGGGTAATTAAAGGAGAATATGATGCTATTTTCTTAATTAGTTTAGGAGAGCTTCTCTCTCTTAGGGTTAGATTAGATAATTTTAGAGAGAGAAAGTAGATTGTTACTCAAATTTCCTTATGGTATTCAACTTGTTCAAGTTTAATCTTCAATCAAGCAAGACTTCAAGTTTTCATCTTTCATTAATCCTTTCTTTAGTAATCTCTAATCCTTTCCTTTAGTTTTATTTATTTTCTTTATTGTTGCTTATTTTTGTTAAACTTTTTAGTTCATCTAGTTATTATTGTTTTCATTGTTTTTATTCATGTTTTGTTTTGAGTTTCTTGAGTTTATTTCTAGTTTTGATAATGTGTTTAATCCCCCTTCTCTAGGCTAAACTTTTAGCTAGGGGAAGGGGGTGGAAGATATGAGTTGATATTGGATGAATGATGATGGTTGGATTGAACTTATGCCATAAATTGATGAAAGACATGATTTTTAATAGCTTGAGATTATTGTTGCACTCTATTTCATGTTTTCTAGTTTAAATGCATGAAAGTGATTTGAACTAGATTAAGATCATCTCTATTTTAATGATTGCATGAGAATAAGTTATTAAAGTGGAGTTTTTATGGATTGTGCTTCTTTATTCTCTTGATTTGATTGTAACTAATAGGATGTATGAGAATGATCCTTATTAGTGTAGACCTCTTTCATTGATTTGCCTAGACTATTGCATGAGAATGAATTGTTTAGGTAGAATCGTGTGTTCTTTGGCATGTGTTTCATGATAATCACCATTATTCCCCTCTTTCTAATCATATTGGACACCCCCGTATCCCTAGCGTTGTCTCTCTTGATTTTAATCATCATTATCTTTGCTTATTTGTAGTTTTAGTGCTCTTTATTAAAAAACCAACAAAAACATTCCCCTTTTTACTCTTGCATTAGTGAAAATTGATGTTGAATGAGTGAGCTTCCTTAGTGGTTCGACCCTTTACTTGCCCCTATACTTGTATTAGGGTAGTTTAGGTATATAAATGATTAATTTGATTAGGGTAGTAGTTTAACGACCTATCTAACCCTTGATCAGTAACTACTATCTTTTTTCTTAATCAGCCTACTTAAACTCTTAATGACATCATTATTCGTCTAAAATGTAATTTATAGCATTTAAACTTAAATTAATCAGATAAACCCTTGCACCACCTACCCACCACCTCCAACAGCCCTCCTTTACCACCTCCGGCAGCTCCTCCACCACGAAATCCACCCCCTCTTGGTCATCCACCACGAAACTCACTCCCACCGCAAAACCCACCGCAATTACTGCCCCTCCCTTTAAAACCCATCCCTTACCTCTCCTCAACCCCAATTACCGCCCCTTCCCTTCTTCTAGCCCCCAAAAACAGCCCAACCACGTGATAGAGCTTTGTTTCGTTGTGAGGAATGGGAGGAGGATAGGTTTTGTTGTGATGGAAAGTAAGGGGGTGGGAATTGTGTGTCGAGGAAGCGAAATACAGATGGAAATCGTGGTGGGGGATCAAGAAGAGGGTGGATCTTGTGGTGGTGGAATGGGAGGGTGGGTTTCGTGGTGGGGGATTGAGCGAGGGAGTGGGTTTCATGGTGGAGGAACCGTCGAAGGTGTTAAGGGGTCAAAGGGAGGCCGCGTGGAGGTGGTGCAATGGTGGTGGGAAGGTGGTGCTAGGGTTTATTTAATTAATTAAGGTTTAAGAGCTACTAATTAGAATTTAGATGAATAATGATATCATTAAGAGGTTAAGGCCCCGTTCTTTAGAGCTATTTTGCTCTGCTCTGCTCTGCTGAAATCTACTTTGCTCTGCTCTGCTGAAATCTGCTCTGCTCTGCCCTGCTCTGCTATGCTCTACTCTACTTAAAATTAATACTTAATATTGAATTATAATAATAATAATAATAATTAATATTTAATAATAATAAATAATTGATATTTAATAATAATAAATAATTAATATTTAATTATAATAATAATTAATACTTAATAATAATAATAACAATAATTAATTATTGATATTTAAGAAAAATAAAAATAAAAATAATAATAATTAATTATTAATATTTAATCATAATAATAATAAATTATTAATAATTAATAATAATAATAATAATAATAATAAATATTTAATAATAATAATAATAGTAATTATACTAATAGTAATAATAATACTTATAACTAATAATATTAATTAGAATAACAATAATTGATTTTAATAATAACAATTAATAAGATAATATCTAATATTTAAAGATAATACTAATTATTAATTTTTAATAATAATAATAATTAAATAATATTTAATAATAATAATAATAATTAATATTTAATAATAATAGTAATAATAATAATAATAATAATAATAATAATAATAATAATGAAATTTGCTCTGCTCTGCCCAGAAGCTCAAAAAAACAGGGCCTAAGTAGACTAATTAGTAAAAAAAGGTAGTAGTTGTTAGAATTAATCAGTTTTAGGAGTAGTAATTAATAACTTTTTTTTAGGGGTAGTAATTCACAAAAACATCTTTTTTGAGGTAGTAATTAATAAATTTTCCGAAACAAAATTAAGGATTTTTAAGAGAGTTAAAAAAAAAAAAAAAAAAAACCTCATAAAATTGTATTTCGCCTCGTTCAAATTTCAACTTTTCCGCGCCTCTTCTCCTCGTCTCACCTTCCACACACAACACCTCTCAACTCATCTGAAAATCCGGTGGAAAACAAAACCAGATATGGCCGTCACTTCCACCAACATCAACCAAGCTTTCTCCTTCACTAGTGACCCTCTTCTTCCATGGCTACAGTACTTTCTCTCTCCTCTTCATTTTCTGTAGTTGCAACAAATTCTGCTAAAATTGCTTCAAATCTGTGCCATTTCTTCTCCAATTTGTTCAATAATTTGTGGTCTTTCAATTTTTGTAGTTCAATTAAGAAGGGATTGGACGATTTATTTGCAGATCATAGTGAAGAGAACAGTTTAGCTGTTGATAAGCTTGTTTCTGACTGCATCAGAACATTCAAGAACAATCCTCGCTATCAAAATGATGTTCGATTTCTCAAAGTTTGGTTTCTCTATGTAATAATTCTTACTTGTTCAACCCCTTTTTCTGCAATTTTGCCATTTTTAGGGTTTTTGGAATGAATTGTATTTGCTTGTGATATGGGTTTTTTTTTTTTTTTTTTTTTTTTTTTTTTTGTTTCGTTTCTGCAGATGGATTGCTGCAGAGATTTCCATAATGTTTTTAAAGAAATCGAGGAGCTTCAGATTTGTCTCGGTAATTCTGTACTATACGAAACGTGTGCCGTGTTTTTGGAAGCTAAAGGGCAATTAATTGATGCTCATGAAATCTATCGTTTGGGCATTTCGAGGTCTTTTTTCTCTCATATTATCAATGTTCATTTTTTAAATGAATGTCAAAGTAGCTTAGTTGGTTCTTGGGTGATACCATAGACACTGGAAAAATTGAATCTCGTCCATATCATTGCCCCTTAATGATTCCCCATAGACTAAAGAGTTTTAGTTCATTGAATTTTCTTAATTTTGCGAAATTATAGGAATGCTGAACCTATTGAAAGGCTGAAGAAAGCGCACAAATTGTTTCTTGAGAGGATTTCAGTTGTACACAAGGCATGTTCTATTCATCAGGTATACTGTCCTAAATAATGAAACTAATGCATTGAATTAAATCCTAGACATGAAAATAAATGAAGAATATGCTTTGTTAATGTTACCGTTAATGTTAATGTTAATGTTAATGTTGTTGTCTTTCTGGTTGTTGTAGTCTTGTATGGTTTGCTACACCTTATAAGCTTATTGTGTTATTCTAATAAGCAGTAAAACAGAAATTACTTATCTCTTGATGCGTGAACCAAACTGACTATAGCCGCGTCGTGGAGAACCACTGACCTAAAAGACGATTCTGCGCTACCTCCCGGTGCAGTAGACAAATGCGGTTGCCCTCCAGGATAAGCACGACGCCGGAGTTTATGTGCACTCACAAACCCGACTGAAACTCAAAATACTTGCCCAGAAAACAGAACGAAAGAATGTGTGTTTAGATAATTTTAGAGAAGAGAGAAGACTGATTGTGTTGTGTATTTTGGCTGGGAAAACCACCAAGTATTTATAGGCAGAATAGGGAAAACGGGTAGCAAAAATCGTGGGAAGAACTTAGCCAAAAAACTGACCAGATGAATTTGATCAGTCAAGAGCAATAAACAAGGGAGTGAATTAGTCAGCTAAAATCAAGGGATTAATGGCCGATTAATTCCCGTAACAGTTAGAATATCCCAACAGTCAAAAACGGATACTTAGGGAATATACTGTTAACAAGGAAAAAAGAAATAAAATTTCTCCAAAAAGATAACAAGGACCCACGCCTGCGCATCGCATTCCCCACGACCCAAGACCCTGTGTGTGGAGTAACACACACCTCCAACTCACTCAACTAAGTAGTGCTAAAGCACTACAATATAAAAACAAGGCAAAACCTTTCTCCCCAATTAATGTGGTACTTTTCCCTTTTCATTTGATTTTCTCTCTCTTATTTTTCCCCAACACTCTTGTTTTATATCAAGAACTTCTAACAATCCCCCACAGGTTCAAAGATATGAAAAAGAAAGAAAGGAAAAATTTGATTTTGGGCAAAACAAAACAATTGCATAAGTGTCAATGTCTCGCGACTTGAATTAACACATAATGGACATCAAGTTATGATCCCTCACCTACCAAGTGACCTTCATCTTGAACTTAATAGGGAGTTAGGGACCCGCCACTTTGAGCCACACAATTGAACATGTATAATATTCTGAAATTCCGCGAATAAAGGTGACACATTATACTGGCCATACGTCCAGCCTGGATGCTCATAGGTGCTCTAGAGTATAAGCCCACGAAATACTCATAGGAAGCGGCCACACTTCCACACCTAAGTAGGTGAACTCCATCAAGTGTGAGCTACAACACACCTCCAAAAATATGGATATGGGTTCATTAAGAGCCGTATGCTCAACCTCCTTCTCATTTGTAGCTAAGCACAAAACAAACATCTAGAGATGGACAAATAAAATAAAATGTGCTTCCGAATTATTACATAATGTTCCCTTTTGAACTCATAGTGAGTAGGAGTTCATTATCTCGCAATTCATACAACGGGCTTTAGCCCCATCTTTTCCGATGTTTCAAAACTAGTTTTTTACATAGGCCTTTAGTTAACGGATCCGCAATGTTCTTTTCAGACTTAACATAGTCCAGTGATATCACCCCTTCAGACAACAAATGACGGCTTTATGCCTCAGACGAATGTGTCTCTTCTTCCCATTATAGGCATGGTTGTGTGCAACAGCAATAGCAGCTTGCGAATCACAATGAAGTGCAACTGAAGGAGACGGCTTCCCCCACAGAGGAATATCTGCAAGCATGTTCCTCAACCATTCTGCCTCATGACCTGTCAATTCAAGAGCAATAAACTCGGATTCCATAGTAAACATAGCAGTACAATATTGCTTACAAGATTTCCAGGATATGGCTCCACCACCAAGGGTGAAGACATAGCCACTAGTGGAGTTAACTTCATCATTATCGGATACCCAGTTGGCATCACAAAAACCCTCCAAAACTCCAGGAAATTTGGAATAGTGCAAACCCTAATCCATAGTACCCTTAAGGTACCTAAGCAACCTTCTTAGAGCAATCCAATGATCATTGTTTGGATTATGAGTGTACTTGCTCAACCTACTAACAGAATAAGCAATGTTAGCTCTAGTGTAGTTCATAAGAAACATAACACTACCAATAATTCTAGCATATTCAGACTGATTAACTGGATTACCATTATTTTTCTTTAGGTGGAAACTTGGGTCATAGGGATCTTAACTGGATCGACATTAAACGAGTCAAACTTTTTAAGAAGTTTTTCAACATAATGTGACTGATTAAGACAGATGCCATTTGGAGTCCTTTTGATTTTTACTCCCAAAACCACATCTGCCTCACCCATGTCTTTCATTTCAAAATTCGAACTCAAAAACTGTTTTGTCTTATTTACATGATCCAAGTTAGTCCCAAAAATCAACATATCATCCACATAAAGACAAATAATTACACAACCATGACTATCATGCTTAAAATAAACACAAGAGTCACCTTCATTAACATGAAAACCATTACCAGTCATAGTCTTATCGAATTTGTCATGCCATTGTTTTGGAGCTTGTTTAAGCCCATACAATGACTTGACTAACTTACAAACTTTTTCCTCTTGGCCTGGAACAACGAACCCTTCAGGTTGGACCATGTAAATCTCCTCATCCAAGTCACCATTCAAAAATGCAGTTTTGACATCCATTTGATGAACAACAAGATAAAAAATGTAAGCAAGAGCAATTAAAGTCCTAATGGTTGCAATTTTAGTAACAGGGGAGTAAGTATCAAAATAATCAATGCCAAACTTTTGAGTAAAACCCCTTACTACTATCCTTTCCTTATACTTGTCTATGGATCCATCGGCCTTTAATTTTTTCCGAAAAATCCATTTACAAGTAATGGGCTTACAACCTCTAGGAAGTTCAACCAATTTCCAAGTGTTATTATTGAGAATTGATTGTAATTCACTATCAATTGCTTCTTTCCAAAAAACAGTATCAACTGACCTCATTGCCTCATCATAGGTTCTTAGATCATCTTCCAAAACAAATATATGCACAAAATCATCATCAATTAAGGAAGATTCTGATAAATAGGAAGTAATAAAATCAGGACCAAAACTGTTTTCCTTTCTTGCCCTTTTGCTTCTCCTTGGCTCCAAAACAGAATCACCGTTAGTAATAGGAGCATTAGCAATAGGTAAACTAACAAAATTACTAGCATGTAATCCACTATCATTAGAAGGAGACATTTTCAAAGGAAAAATGTTCTCAAAGAACTCATCATCTCTTGCTTCAATGATATGACCACCTGTATAAGAGTTAGCACTTTTAACAAAGAAACGATAAGCTGCACTTTAATAAGCATAGCCAATAAAAATATCATCAACAGTTTTGGGACCAATTTTATCCCTCTTGAAACTAGGTATGCCTACTTTTGATAGGCACCCCCACACTTTCAAGTATTTCAGATTTGGCGCTCGACCCTTCCATATTTCGTATGGAGTCTTGTCAAGCTTCTTGTGAGGAACCCTGTTCAAAACATGACAAGCAGAAAGAATAGCCTCCCCCACATGTTATTAGGAAGCCCAAAACTAATAAGCATAGAATTCATCATATTCTTTAAAGTTCTATTTTTCCTTTTAGCTATACTGTTTTTTTCGGGTGAATAGGGAGCCGTTGTCTCATGAATAATGCCAAGTTGCTCACAAAATGCCTTAATGGTCTGTTTGGGAATTGTCATTTCATTTCAAATGTTGGATTTGTCCCAATTGAGCTGTTTGGAAACTCAAAGCATTTGGAATTGAATTTGGCTTAATTCCAGACACTTATCAAAAATAACCCACACCAAAGAATTTGAAATCCATCTTCAACATATGACATTTCAATTCCAAGTGATGTGATCTATTCACCTTCAACTTCTCTCTCCTCTATTTTTACCAGGTAAGTTACTCATATTTTCTCTCTTCTCTCTTCTACCACATAAAAGTTCTCTCTCATGGCTCCTTGCTTTAACCTTCATCGTCGGGAAAAACTAGGGATTCCAATTTCCGACAAAGCACTGATGATGAACTTAACCTTAATTTCGCCGAAGAAGACAACGATGATTTTATAGAGAAGACCATCTCAAGAACAGGCAAGTTGCATTTCTGGACGCCATTGGAGTTATCGGCACTTTAATTTGTCGCCATTATTGAACTAATTGGAGTCCTCAGTGTCGCGTCGCCATTGTTGAACCACCATTGGAGCTCGCAATGTTGTGTCGCCATTGATGAATTGCCATTGGAGTTCTCAGAACATCGGAAGGGATGACATTGTTGACAGTAGTGTTGTATGAAAATATGATTTGAATTTTATTTTATTTTTATTTTTTTCAAAAGAATCAGTTAAACAATACAATTGTGAAATTCCAATCTATCCAAACAACATGTAGAATTTCAAATCCTAGAATCTAAGTTCTAGCAATTTCCCAAACACCATTTTTGGAATTAAAAATAAGAATTTCAATTCCAAGAATTGAAATGAATAATTTGAAATTAAATACTGATTCCCAAACACTGCCTAAGAGTGTCAGGGCTGTACTCACCACCCCTGTCACTCCTAACCCTCTTAATCTTTTTGTCCAATTGGTTTTCTACCTCAGCTTTATATATGAGGAACATTTCCGAGAAGATAAACCATACAAAAACGTGAGCAATCATCAACAAAAGTAATGTAATACTTTTTACCCCCTCTACTTTCGTGATTATTAAAATCCCCTAAGTCACTATGAACAAGTTCTAGTACTTCAGTTTGTCTATCTACTGATTTAAATGGCTTCTTAGTAAATTTGGCTTCAACACAAACTTGACATTTCGAAAATTAGTGTTAGAAAAATTTGGAAACAAATTTAAGTGTTTAAGTCGTTTAATTGAATCAATATTAACGTGACCTAATCTAGCATGCCATAAATCAATAGACTCAGCAATATAAGCAGAAGAAGTACTAGCATCATTATTCATAGTGTCAACTTTAACATCAAGAGTAAAAAGCCCCAGTGTCATATGTAGTGAACATGTCCTTGTTGGCGCACATGTGTCTGGTAGCTCCAGTGTCAACAATCCACTCAGCAGCATTACCTGTAAAGTTAGCTTCTAAAACAACAACAACAATAACGTCAGAATCCTCAATAAGATTTGCTTGACTTTGCCCATTCTTCTTCTTGACCCTGCAATCTTTAGCCCTGTGACCAGTCAAACCACACTCATAACAGACTCCCTTAAACTTGTACTTCTGAAACTTCCCATTAGGCTTAAGGTTACTGTTTTTGGCTTTGGACTGGTTGTTTGATTTGGGTTCAACAAGGTTGGCTTTGGCAGAAGAAGAGGAAGGAAAAACAGAAGGGGTTTTGTCTTTGATACGGTTTTCCTCCTCAATTTTGAGGTGAGCAGCAAGTTCCTCTAAGGTTAGGTCTTTCTTTTTGTGCATGAGTTGGTTACGAAAATCCTTCCAAGAGGGAGGGAGTTTCTCAATCAGAACAATAGCAAGGGTATTATAACAAATAGACAGCCTTCAACAGCCATATTAATACAAACACTCTCATAAGCATGAATCTGATCAATAATAGGCTTATCATCAACAACTTGAAAACTTAACCACGTACTAACACAATAACGCTTAGTACCAGCATCATCAGTCCCATATTTTTTCTCTAAAGCATCCTAAATATCCTTAGCATGATAAAAACCCATATAAATATCCAACAGACTATTTGACATATAATGTAACAACATGCCCTTACAGGTTCTATTATCCTTAGCAAACTTAACATCAGTTTCAGACAAATTATCCTTATCATCAGGTTCAACAATATCATCAAGAACATATGCAACATCAATTTACTCCAAATTAAAACGCATCCTAAAAGCCCAACGTTTATAATTTATTCCATCAAGAGGTTCCAAGTTAGACATATCAGGAACAAGGAATTTGGAAGCCATAATCGTCTTTTAGATTGTTATTCTAATAAGCAGTAAAATAGAAATTACTTATCTCTTGATGCGTGAACCAAACTGACTATAGCCGCGTCGTGGAGAACCACTGACCTAAAAGACGATTCCGCGCTTCCTCCCGGTGCAGTAGACAAATGCGGTCGCCCTCCAGGATAAGCACGGCGCCGGAGTTTATGTGCACTCACAAACCCGACTGGAACTTAGAATACTTGCCCAGAAAACAGAACGAAAGAATGTGTGTTTAGATAATTTTAGAGAAGAGAGAAGACTGATTGTGTTGTGTATTTTGGCTGGGAAAACCACCAAGTATTTATAGGCAGAATAGGGAAAACGAGTAGCAAAAATCGTGGGAAGAACTTAGCCAAAAAACTGACCAGATGAATTTGATCAGTCAAGAGCAATAAACAAGGGAGTGAATTAGTCAGCTAAAATCAAGGGATTAATGGCTGATTAATTCCCGTAACAGTCAGAATATCCCAACAGTCAAAAACGGATACTTAGGGAATATTCTGTTAACAAGGAAAAAAGAAATAAAATTTCTCCAAAAAGATAACAAGGACCCACGCCTGCGCATCGCATTCCCCACGACCCGAGACCCGACCCGGCGCGCGCGCGCATGTGTGTGGAGTAACACACACCTCCAACTCACTCAACTAAGTAGTGCTAAAGCACTACAATATAAAACAAGGCAAAGCCTTTCTCCCCAATCAATGTGGGACTTTTCCCTTTTCATTTGATTTTCTCTCTCTCTTCTTTTTCCCCAACACTCTTGTTTTATATCAAGAACTTCCAACATATTGTTCCTCAATGGCTGCATTACTACGATTCAAGAACTTATATCAAACACGCAATTGTGTCCAAGTGTAAAACTCGGTTGTTTTCTGATTAATATCTATGTTTTTTGTTCAAATAAAGTGTCGAGGAGATGAAACAGTTACATGAGGCGAATTGAAGATTTAAAGACTTAAAAGTCACATAGATCATTAGGTCAATTACCCTTGCATCTCTACTATCAATGAATTTCGTCATCATGCTTCTATTTAAAATCTCTTGCTCTATCACGTGTTTACATATCTCATCTTAAATGATTGAAGTTCATTTATAAGTTTACCAAGCTTATTTAAGCATTCTATATACTATATAGTTCTCAATGTAATATCTTGAAGGCTCTATCAGGGTCTCTTTTGACTCACATGATCAATATTCAACAAAAAAGATTCCAAATCAATTTATGAGTACTCTATTGTCCTCACTGTGTAACATCTTGAAGGCTGTCATGATCGTCGTCATTTCCTCCTTAATCTACTGCTTGCTCTTTTTGAGTAGCTATTAGTTTGTTGAAGAATTGACAGGGTTCGTGCAACTAATTACCGTATTTGCAGAATGTTCATAAAGATACAAAGAAGCTTGGACAGACTTGTATCAACCCATGGTCGTCTTCCACCATTGATGAAGTTTTGCAGAAGATTCTTCCTCATTTAGTGAAATATGAAGTGAGTTCTGTCGTGTTGCCTCCTTACTCCTGTTCTCATAGTGTTTCTTATGCAAGGTTTTACGTTGTGGCAGAGACTTTGGTTACATATTCTAAGTTTGATTATGGCCTTAAGTTTGTAACCAACTTCTTCACTATGCTGTTTCAGGGATACCATTTTAGCTCAAAAAACTTTCCAGGAAAGGTTGCTTTGTCTACATTACAAAAATCATCTAGGAATAAGAAAATAAAGATAGGTAATTGGCAGCAAATTATGTTCCTTGTTTTTCTTTTTAATGTATCATTAGGCCTGATGCCTAACTCAGATGTGTCATTATGTGAAGGTGGAAGGGAATATCTGATCAAAGGCTGTGCTGGTCATGGTGGATTTGCCCAAGTTTTTAAAGCTTGCATTGACTCTGACCCTGATGAAATTATTGCACTTAAGGTAACATTCCATCAAGAATCATGCTGAGCTGGTTGCACTTTTTCTGCAATTCACTTATTAGATACTGTGCTTATTTGACATAATGACAGATACAAGCACCTCCTTTCCCTTGGGAGTTTTACATGTATCGTCAGCTTGATCAGCGTCTCCCAACTGAGAAAGTAAGCTTTTTTGTTCCCCTTTTAGTCCACCTTTTATTCTTTTAAAAGGACATTCTATAATACAAAGCCTTTAGTGTGATATCTCTCTCTTTTTTATTTTTTTATTTAAACAGAGATCCAGGTTTGGAAATGCTCAAAGGATGCATCATTACTCAGATTACAGCATACTTGTTTGTGACTATTTGTCACATGGGACCCTTCATGTACGTTTATAGTGCAACACTTTGCATAATATTCTTTTCATATATTACCTTAGAATTGGCTGATAAAAGGGTTATGGCCAGGATGCAATAAACTCATATATAGTTGTTGGGGCATTTATGGAAGAGGTGTTATGTATGTATTACACAATTGAGATGCTTCACATGCTTGAGACTCTACATAGTTCTGGCATCATCCATGGAGATTTCAAGCCTGATAACCTTCTTATTCGTAATTCCAGGTAATTTTTTTATACCATTGATATTCGATAAACAGTAGTATTTATGAGCAAACTGGCTGCGTCAATATCTAAGTTCAGTTTTATATGCTACTGTTTTTAAGGGTGTTGCTTCATGCTTTTCTTACCAAAAACTATGAACTAGCTTTGTTATTGGTTAAAATACTGAACGAAGAAGTGAATTTTCAGTTTTTCAAATTTTCATTTGAACACAGATATCTCATTAATATGGATGGCCATTATCTGGTTGTTTCCAATGGTACAACTGTTAAATGTAGCTCCAATGCTATGAATTCTACTTGAAAAAAGATATCTGTCATGTATCATCTTCACTACTTCAAAAGAAAGCTTACAAGCAACAAGCTCTTCAGTTAAAGCAAACAAATGTGCAGATTAGGGATTTTTAACAAGTTGTTGGTTCCTCACATGATGATGGATGCATCCTTATTCGGGTATGCTGGTTTCAAACATATGCCTGTTTGCAGAATAGGTACTTACGAGATCAAAATCTATATGCTATCACGGTTACTGTAGGTTCTTTTGCCCAGTTGGATGAACCTCTTTATTATCAGTTAGCTCATGGCATTCCAATATAAGATCAATAATAGCTTATCACTGCCTTTTGGGCTGATATGAAAGTATCTGATGGAATGCTAAAATCTACCAAAAATCTATTTTCTTTCAAACTTTTCTGTCTTCCCATTTCGGAAAAACAGCCAATGCCCATATGCCAGTTAGAATTCTATGCCTGAAATTGTGGCAGGATTGTCTTTTTAAAAGATTGTCATCTGCACCATCATAACTGGCTAATATGTCAGAAATGCAAAGTCACTAAGGTAAAGGGTTACAGCTGACAAAAATGCATTGCAACTCCACTTCATTGTGAATTTATTTGTAGCAATCTCGGTGGTTAATATTATATCTTCTGGATTTTAAGATATTTCCTTACATTATCTGATTCCTTGCAGAGTTGATCTGACAGAAGATATGGAACATTTTGTCAGAAGACGGGGGCCTTGGCAGGATCAGGTAAAAAACAATTGCGTTGCAAAATACTTATACAAATAACTTATGCTTTTGATCTGTAGAAAGCCAACTATTCGTTGATTTTCTGATGCAGGGGCTTTGCCTTGTTGACTGGGGAAGGGGAATAGACTTGAAACTTTTCTCAGCTGACACTATGTTTCATGGTGATTGCCGTACTTCAGGCTTTTGTTGTGTTGAAATGCGAGAAGATAAACCTTGGAAATTTCAGGTTTGTAACTGCTATAATGCCTCTTTTTCCTTATTCTTACCCATCCCGTTAAAAGTGACATCAAGTTAGAAGAATCATACAGGTGGACACTTATGGCCTCTGCGTCATTGTTCATATGATGCTGCACAACAAATATATGGATATTGAAAAAAATGTATCTGCTGATGGAGGCTGTTTCTTTCTACCAAAATTACCATTTAAAAGGTGTGTCCTTTGTTTCTGTAATAATTGTGCTTGTTAATAACAATCATAATTTAAATGCTTCAAAATCCAACAAATTCTTCGGTGACTTAGGTATTGGAACATCAAACTGTGGGATAATCTTTTTAAAAGGTTGCTCAACGTCCAATCTTGTGATGATCACTTGAAGATGTTGCGAGAGCTCAGGGAATCCTTTCAAGAATATGTGTTATCAGACCCGTCCTTTGTAAAGAAACTGAAGGAGTCACTGCGGAAGCAAAGGCTATCGCTTTGTTCTGCATAGCTCTCCTATTAAGAAACTATTAATAAATGTGAAGCAGACAAACAGAAGATAAGACATTTGTTGCTTAAAAAATTTGATGTAAACTTCTCTTCCATTTCTGTAAAAGTGTGTCTTTTCTTGCTGGTACTCAGTAAATTTTATGAACTTCTGTACTCATTATCCAAAATAGGTGTCAGTGATCAACTGGAAATCAGAGGTTCAATATATTGAGGACATTGAAGACAACTTGCTTTCATGTAGTTGTAAAGAATATGGGGCTCCAAAAGATCTTCAGAACGTGCAAAAGTGGAGTTTCAAAATTTAGTTGTAAAGAATTTGTGAGTACATCTCTTCTTGAGACAAGAATTCATGCATCTGACGGCATGAAAGGTACTCTAGGCTTGGAATTGCATTTTATTGGCATTTTAATAAATTATGAATTGAATGTATAAAGAACAAATGCTACTTGTTGGATCAGGTTTATATTATTACTAGTATTGTGCCCCGGGCATCTGCCCGGGTTGTTTATGGAATTTGAAGATAAAATTATATTATAATTTAATTTAATTGATTGAAAATAGAATTTTAAATTAGCTTTTTTTTTTCTACAAAGTCTATCTATATTTATGCAACGTGGTACGACACTTGGCGAAAAGTTAAAATGCTATACGATGTTGTCGTGTGGCCTAATTATAAGTTTATTATTTGGTATTTTATCGAAAATAAAACTCTAAACTAACCATTTTATTCTAAAATTCTACCCTAATTTGATTGAAAAAAGAATTTTTAACTAATTTTTTTTTTTATTTTATGTATCTATTTAAATCTATCCAAGGTGACGCGACACTTGGCGAAAAGTTAGAATGCCAAGTGTCACTATTTCGTGACCTGGCTAAAAGTTTAGCTTTATATATTAGTTATATGATTCTTATTCTAGTTTCTTTAATTACCTTTGTTTACTCACCTTATTTTTGTTGAAATGAAATTAATTTTATTGAACTGAGTTTACTTTTACTGAAGTAAAATTATTTTTATTGTGAGTTGAATAGGGCCTTACTAAAGCCAAATCCATAAAAAGAAAGTCTTCGACTAATTGGTCTTGTTGGTAATTTTCGGACCTCTGGTTTGTACAGTCAAACATTATACCAACAAGAGGTTATACTGGTAAAGTGTTTGTACCAATGTGAGGTCTAAAAGTACTAACAAGCATTTGTAGTAGTCATGTTTGGCAAAAGTAGTTATTGTTTTAGAATCCCAAAATTAGAAATGAAATGAGTTGATTTCTTGTTAATTTTTTTTTGCTAATACCCTATTCTTACCAAATTTCTTAGAAAATATTTAATTTAGGATCATAAAAATGTTCCTTACATTTTAACATAATGTTTCTTACATACACATTCAATTAAAATATTACTTTGTTTAGCAATAATTGTACAAGTAGAAATAACACAAAGTTTTAGGAGAAATAATAGGGTGGGAACCAAAATGTGAATTGTATAATATTAAATATAGTTATTAATTATATATTTAATTTGATTGTTAATGGGAAAGATAAAAAAAAAAATTGTGTAAGTGGGTGGGGTTGGTGCGAGCTAGAGTAGTGGATGAGAGATATAATAAAATAATAGAGAGTTCTTGTTAAATAAGGATATGTTGCGTTTACTTTGCTCTAAATTATTTTCTCTGCCTTCTCTCTAAAAAACTCCATGTTATTATGTTTTTTTTTTTTTTTTAAAATTTTTTTTTTAACCTTTTTCTCTGTAATGGAGGAGCATTCTCCTCCTCCTTCATCTCAACCTCCAAAAGGTCCTGATAAATCTAATGGATCAGTTTCTGAATCTATTAGTCATTTAGCAACACAAAACCAGGCTCCCAGCTTTCGTGAGGTGGTAGCCACCTCTTTAGTGTGGTTTGCGCAGGCTAGGAAAATTGTGGAATCCGCGAAAATATGGAATGATGAGGATGACATGGTTTAAGAAGGTAAATTTGCGGTGCATTTCAATAAGAAAACTCTGTAAAAGCATCGAAAACCATGGAACTTAACCTTAATGGGAAATGTTATAGTACTAAGCAATAAAACATAAATTACTTATCTCTGATGCGTGAACCAAACTGACAATAACCGCGTCGTGGAGAACCACTGACCTAAAATACGATTCCGCGCTACCTCCCGATGCAGTAGACTAGAAGCGGTCTCCCTCCAGAATAAGCACGGTGCCGGAGTTTATGTGCACTCACAAACCCGACTGGAACTCAGAATACTTGCCCAAAAAACAGAACAGAAAGAACTCGTGTTTAGGTAATTTTGTAGAGAAGAGAGAAGACTGATTGTGTTGTGTATTCTGATTAGGAAAAGCAACGAGTATATATAGGCAGTGGAAAGGAGACCAGAAGCATAAAACGAGGGACGAATCTGGCTAAGAAAACGACCAAATTCATTCAGCCAGTCAACAACGGAAGCAAGAAACAAGGAATTAATCAGTCAGCTACAATCAAGGGATTAATGACTGATTTAATTCCGTAACCCCAACAGTCAGAAAAGAATAATCCCAACAGACAAAAAAGAATATTCCGTTTAACAAAGAAAGGGAAATAAAATTTCTCCAAAAAGATAACAAGGACCCACGCATCGTATTCCCCAAGACCCAAGTCCAGAGGCCCGAGCCCGACCCGGCTCGGCGCGCGCGCGTGTGTGTGGAGTAACACTTACCTCCCACTCACTCAACTAAGTAGTGCTAAGACACTACAATATAAAAACAAGAAAAAACCTTTTCCCCCAACCAATGTAGGATTTTCCCCTTTCATTTGTTTTTTCTCTCTCTCTTGTTCTCCCCAACTCTCTTATTTTATATCAAGAACTTCCAACAGGAAATACCGTAGGTATTTATTCGACTAGGATTTATGGCCAAAAGAGCTCAAATAATGTGGAAAATTAAAGGGAATTTGGAAACAATTGATATGGGACATAGTATTTTCTTGTTCAGATTCTCTTTGCAAGATGATTATGAAAGAGCCCTATTTGGAGGCCCATGGTTCATTTTTTATCACTATCTAATGCTCACAAGATGGAAGCCTAATTTTAGGCCAAATTCCATGGAATTTGACATTATGACTGTTTGGATCAGAGTTCCGGAACTATCGGTGGAGTATTATGATAAAGAGGCCCTGTTTGACATCGCCAAAGTGGTTGCAAAGCCAATAAGGGTGGATTACGCTACAGATAGATTAACTCGTGGAATGTACGCTCGGGTTTTTAGTGAGATCCATCTGCAACAACCTCTAATAACCAAAATCTGAGTTGGTGGGTGCATGGCAGACGGTGGTTTATGAGAATCTAAACTCCCTTTGCTTCACTTGTGGAAGAGGGGCATGACAAAGCAAGTTGCATGCAAGCTAAAGCAAGCCCCGATCTTCCGGGCTAGGCCCCGATGTCGAGCACACGTCCAACCTCACCTTCAGTGACCCAAAGTCCATAAGCAAGCCAAAGTGGTTATGCCGTCGCTAAAGGTGCAACTCTGATTTTTAATAAGGAAGTTGCTAATAGTGGGCCAAATCCTATTTCCGTTGTCAAGCCCACTTTGGTTCATGATGGGTTAGATCCATCTTCTGATGATGGGTTAGGTCCTTAGACTATAGTTACAAATATAAGAGAAATAAGTATAAAAAAGCTAATAATAATAGCAAAAGCATTGATAATAACAATGCTAAACTTATTTCTAATAGTAAGAAAGTGGTTGAAGTGAATAGTCAAAATTCAAAAAATGAAAAGCAAGTTATTTCTTCAGTATGGAAAATTAAAAATAAAGTTTGGAAATCTTGATCAAACCTTATTGATAATAGTGGCAATAATAATATTGTATATAAGAAAGCTTCTACTGATTCCAAGATTAGAAATGATAGCATTAATATCTCCCTTTCAAAAAGCCAAAATCTTTTAGCTTTTTCACCCAGCAAAAACATTGATGCATTCAATTCTATTGGGCAAGAGGATGGTATGGCTATTGATTTTCCCAAAAATACTCCAACCGATACTTCCTCTAATTCTCTCTCCTTGTCTTTGTCCTTATATATTGGGCATTCTCTTTCATTAAAAGATATCATTCACCCTATTTCCCAATCCCAAATTCAAAATCAAGCAAAATCAAAAAATGAATCCCTCTATGAAGTCCCCTGCTCCTCAAGCAACAATGGCCCCTTCAATCTCAAACCCCCTCAATCAATCTCCTCCATCCCAAACCATATCTCAAACACAACCTCCAATCTCGACATCATTTACCCCACCCCTATCTCCACCATTGTCGAAGCAAGCTCAACTCTTGAGCCTGTTTCCGAAAAGGGGAAAAACTCCCATGAATGATCGCCCGACTTGTTTTCTAAAGAGGCTACCATCCCCTCCCTCGCCTTCAACGAAAATGGAGGGAGCTCTGAAATTGTTGGATTCGCTTCGAAGAAAGGAAGAGCAAAGGTCACTCCAAAAGAAAATCGTCTTGGAATCACTTCTACTTCCAAGAAAAATGGAGGTCGTCCATCTTGTTCTCGAAACACAAGGTCACGATATGGGACGACCCAATCATCACCTTGCAATGTATTTCACGAAGAAGGATGTGTTGGGTGTTACCTAATCAAAAGTATTACCTAAGTCCTCTAACTAATGTAGATAGGGAAGTAGGGTCGAATCCAGGGAAACAAGTGGGGGTAAAACATATCAACAAATAATTAACATTGCACAAAATAACATGATTAACGGGCTCTCGCAATTTATTAATCAACATAGATTTAACAGCCTCTCGCAATTTACTAGATCTATTTTCATATTGAAAATAGCCTTTAATATCAAATTAACATCTGCTCGATTCATCAATTCAATATTGCTGTACTTTTACAAGCAAATCACATCTGCTCAATTCATAATTCGGTGTAAAGCGTTTAAAAAAATCCAATAAGAAATTATCATGCAATAACAATAATCAATAATAACAAATTATCCCTTCATATTAATTATGGATTCCCCAAAACCCTAGAAAGGAAACTACTCAGACATAATTAAATATAAACTAAACAAAACAATAAAAGAAGACATGATTAAGATCAAAGCAAAGAAAATAAGTAATAAAGGAGAGAAGAGATAGTATTAAAAAAAAAATATAAAATTGCATAAACCAAGAGTTTAGAGAGATAAACAAGGGAGAGATAATACTAAGAATTTAATTAAGAGGAGAGAGAGAAATTAGAGAGAGAAAGAGAGAAGAAAATTAAACTCAAACTAAAGAAAAAGAAAACTAAAACTAATAAAAGAACAAAAACTAAAAAACTAACCTCCCTTTACCCTACGTACTACCTCCTTAAATAAGGTAGGAAAAAGGAGTTTGACTCCTAAACAACTTCTAATCCCACTAAAAGTACTACTCTCCTAAACAGTGAACACCGACTAAACAAAACCCAAATTAGCAACAACTTATAGCACTAGGCCCAATTGGAGTACACTACCGTGTAGGGCCAAGTAAACGTCACGCCCATCAGCCTATTCTCTTCTTTGCTTTAATTTGCAAGCTCGGGGCCCTTCAAGCTTTTGGCCCAACTTCTTTCCTTGGTTGTTCCGTAATAATAACTTGATAAATCTTGGACTTCCTCTCGTATTGAGCCCTTAATCACCGAATCAAATTTAATTAGCTCGACCTTGGACGTTAAATATACGATCATAAAATACGATCAAACTCAATGTTTTCGTAGTGGTCTAATAAGG